TAGCCCAGGCTGGCCTCGAACTCACAGAGATCCGCCTGGCTCTGCCTCCCGAGTGCTGGGATTAAAGGCGTGCGCCACCAACGCCCGGCCCACCGGAAAGGTATTAAATATGCTTATTGAACTAAAGGAACAGGCATATAGTAGGTACTTAGTAAATATTAGCTCCCTTTTCTCTCTCACTTAATGACAGATGTTTTGTTGGTGAGAAATTACCTAAACTAAGGTTGTAAATTAGAAGATTACTTACTTCCATCCTAGAGGAATGGAAAAGTGTTGGGGCCCCTTCTTTCTAAGCACTGAGTCCTTACCGGCCGTCATCTCACATTGGTCATCCCAAGTTTCTCCATGTTTCCCTAAGCCTTTCTTTTTATGTGGAGTAGGAAGGAGGAGCTAGCCACCTGTCCCTGCTTTTCTTAGTCTGTTATTCCATGGAGGACCTGGCAAACTGACTTGGGTGATTTAGTTCTTTGGACCATTTTATTGCCCCTAGAGAGAAACAATTAATGCTGGCATATGGATTTTCTTTCTCTTCTATACTGCAGTTATGCCCATGGGGAGCTTTTATATTCTCTGCTGCTTCCTTTGTGCCAGATGTTCCTGATAAAGACAATAGGAAATATGATCAGGGAGGCGATCATATTTCTTTTACTTTAATTTTGAGCCTTCTGTTGTATCATACTACTGTACTATTTTCTTTCTCTCTCTCTTTCTTTCTTTCTTTCTTTCTTTCTTTCTTTCTTTCTTTCTTTCTTTCTTTCTTTCTATCTATCTATCTATCTATCTATCTATAGAGAAGGTCTCCTCATAGCCCTGACTTTCCTGGAACTCAAGACAAGGTTGGTTGGCCTCAAACTCAGAGACCCACTTGCTTCTGCCTCCCAACTGCTAGGACTAAAGTTGTGTGCCACCATGCCTGGCCCCATGCAATTTTTTTAAATTAATAAAGTACAACAAAGAGGTATTGATCAATCAATTGTCATGTAGTTAATAAGTGTTATGTTAAGATTTCAGCTGACATGACCCTTTCTTTATGGTGCCTTAGCACCATATTGTAGATTGATCTTTAAAGGTACTGTAGACTGTGGAAAATTAAAGAAAAAAAAAGACAACATTGAACACTTAGCAATGAATTAGAAGTTATTTTAAAGCATTTTATATATGTGTTCAACGTAACTCTTCAGGGAATCACTGCTTTTTGTTTTGTTTTTTTTGTCTTATTCAAGTCCTTCCTATGGCTCCCCTCAACTGTTTTAGGCAGGCCTGGAATTCCTAGTCTTGGCCTCCTAAGGACTTGGAATGCCTGGCAAAGAGAATTAACTGTTTCTTATAAAATTTATACTGTTTGTAATTTTTTTTAAAGGTTTTCTTCAACCAAGATGGTACCTTTCCACTTTCCCCCATCAAAATTGGCACTTTGGAACCCAATGCCAATTGGAGATTTCATCTGCTTGCATCTCAGTTACTACAGGTATTTTTTTCCTTTGAAATCAAACCAGTATAAACATGAATCATAAAAGAATATGTAAGACAGACTTAATTGTTATTACTAGTTACAAGTTGGGCTGCCTAAATCCCAAAGTCCCTTTTTTTTCCCTTTTGATTTGTGTGTGTATGTGTGTCCACTTGTGATGTCTATTGTCTTCCTGTATTGCTCTCTAATTTATCTTTTGAAGCAGGATCTCACTGAATCTGGAGCTTACCTTTTCAGCTAGATTGCTGGCCAGCTTCCCCCCACTCCACTCCACCAAACTCTGGGGTGATACAGATGCCACTGTTCCCATCTTTTACATGGATATTGAAGATCCAAACTCAGGTCCTTGTACTTGCCTGGCAGGAGCCAATTCCCTAGACTCTAAAATCTGAAGCTTGCACTGATAAGATGACCGAACAGGGAAAAGCACCTGCCCTCAAAATCTGAAACTTGTTGACTGTCAACAAGATACTATAAAGAGCTACATTCTACATCTTACCCACAAACAAAATACAGTTAGATAAAAATTACCTTCAGACTATAGGTGTTTATAAACATAAATGAATTTCATATTTAGATTTGAGTTCCATCTCTAAGATTTTGTATATGCAAATAGTCTCAAACCTGAAGTACTTGTGGTCTCTAAGTATTTCAGGAAAGCTACTCTCAAACTGTATTCATTTTTTTTTTTAACTTTTTCACTAAAAGTTTCTATCAGATAAAAATTCCATCTGTTTGTTAAATCTTCCATATGCTTTTGAGAAATAATCCCAGTTTCATAGTTAAAATATTCTGCAAGTCTAAGGTTCTGAATATTGTAGGATTGTCCCTTGTACTTCAGCATGATGTCTGTGTGGAACCCTGAGAAGACAGAGCTGAGATGGAATTGATCAAGTTAGAAAGCCTATAATGTAGTTCTCTATAGGACCTTTTGAAGGAAGTTTAGATTAAACTAATAGTAATCAATTGAGCTGTTGTGTCTGAGGACTTACTTGCTAAAAGAAGTATTCTACAGAGGCTAGGTTGTAGTGTAGAGAGCCAAGTCAGTCTGTTTGTAGGTACTTGTCAGTATTCATGGATTTGTTTTGTTTTGCTTTGTTTTTTCGGGACAGGGTTTCTCTGCATCCTGGCTGTCCTGGAACTCAATATATAGACCAGGCTGGCCTCTGCCTCCAGAGTGCTGGGATTAAAATCATGTGCCACCACCACCACCACCACCCAACTTAGATTTTTTGCCTTGGTGATTTAAGGCACTCTTAATTGGAATCAGGCTGTCTAGACCCTCAATTCCTGATCCTGTCAATTCTTTTGTTTTTTGTTTTTTTGTTTTTTTTTTTCTTTTTTGGTTTTTCAAGACAGGGTTGATTGATCCTAACCAATTCTTATTTAAATGACTTCAATAAAGTAGTCAAAGATCAGTTTACTTAATTATAAAATAAATTTAAAAGTACCATGAGAGGATCATGTGTAGCCTCTGGAGTGTTTCATATACTTGAGCATGCTAAGTAAACACTCCACTATAGGGTCAACACATGATCCTTTCCTGGTACTTTTAAATTTTTTTCCAGACAAGATCTTTCTACATAGCTCCAGGTGGGCTGGAACTTAATATGTAGACCAGGCCGGTCTTAATTATTAATCAAACTCACAAAGATCTGCCTGTGTCTGGGTGTGTGCCACCATCCTGGTCCTTTTTTTTTTTTTTTTCCGAGATGGTTTCTCTGTGTAGCTTTGTGTCTTTTCCTGGAACTCACTTGGTAGCCCAGGCTGGCCTCGAACTCACAGAGATCTGCTTGACTCTGCCTCCCTAGTGCTAGCATTAAAGGCGTGCGCCATCACCGCCCGGCGGTCTTTTTTGTTTTTATGAGACAGGATCTCACTATTAAGCTAGAGTTGAACTTACTATGTAGTCCAGGCTGACTTTAAACTTTCTGATCCTCTTGCCTTGCCCTCTTGAGTGCTAGTATTATAACATGCACACCACCATTCTTGGCCTCATAGACTTTTCAAAAGATTAAATGTGAAAGGCTTTGTAAAATAGTTAGCATAGGACCTGGAGTATAAATTATTTACTAAATAGTGTTTATTATGTGTAATAAGAATAATCAGCAGTATCAGATCAGAAGAAAGAACAAAACAAAGGTTTTGTTGTTGTTGTTTGTTTTCTGAGACAGGGTCTTGTGCAGCCCAGGTTGCCCTCAAATTTTCTATGTAGGTAGGATGGCTTTGAACTCTGTCTGTCTACCAAATGCTAGGACAGGCATATGTCACCATACCTGGTAAAACCAGGTATTTTGAAAACATTTTATGGCATTTGATGATTGATTAAATAGAGAATGGAAGAAGATATACAAGTCGAAATATTCAAATTCTAAAGTAGTTTGCAGAGAAGAATGCTACCATTGACAAGAAAAGAAGAGTTTTGATCCAGTGGGATGGCTCAATATAAGGGCTTTTGCCACCAAGCCTGATGACCTAAGTTAGATCCCTTGGACCCACATGGTGGTGGGAGAGAGCCAGTTCCTGCAAATTATCTCCCCCCCCCCTCACACATTATATTAGATGTGCAGGACCACCCCTACTCCAACTCCACAAATAAATAAGTGTAATAAAAAATTTAAGGAGAGTCTTGGGGCTAGAAAGATAGCTCAGTGGTTAAGAGTACTTGCTGCTCTTACAGAGGACCCTGTTTGATCCCTAGTATCCATATTAGCAGTTGATAGCCATCTATAGCTTCAGTTCCAGGGCATCTGTTGCCTTATTCCAGCCGCCATGGGTACACATATACACACATGGCTCACATATACACACAGGCACTCCCACACATACATGAAAAAAGACCTGTAGAAGTTTAAGTATTTGTGATGCTTGTTCATTTCCCCCTATTTCTGTTTCTTTTTGTCTTTTCAAGACAGGGTTTCTCTGTGTAGCCCTGGCTGTCCTGGATCTCACTCTGTAGACAAGGCTGACCTCGAACTCACAGAGATCCGCCTGCCTCTGACCCTGAGTGCTGGGATTAAAGACGTGTGCCACCACCGCCCAGCTCCCCTCATTTCTTAACCTTTCTTTTGTCGGCTTTCTGTACTAATGTATTTTGAATAATTTGTTTTTTAGTTCTCCTGATTTTTCTCCTTAGCTGTGCTTATATATTCAGGGGTTTGAAGAGCGAGAGGGAGAAAGTAAAATAAACACTAGAATTTGTTTATTTGAGATAGGGTTTCTCTGTGTAGCCCTAGCTGTCCTAGAACTCCCTCTGTAGACCAGGCTAGCCTTGAATTCAGAGATCTGCCTGCCTCTGTGTCTCTAGTGCTGTGATCAAAGGTGTGCACCACTGCCCCCTGGAGATTTATTTTATTTTTAATCATGTTAGTGTTTATTTTTAATCATGTTAGTGCAGTTGCCAAAAGAATCCAGAGCCCCTGGGTCTGGAATTACAGGTGATTGTTAGCCACCTGACAGTGCTGGGATTGAATGCAGAACCTCTGGAAGAGCAGTATGAGCTCTTAACTGTGAGCCATTACCCACCCCACCTCTTTTTAAAAATGGGGATTCACTGCATAGCTCTGGCTGGCCTGAACTCACTATGTAGACCAGGATGGCCTCAAACTCACAGAGATCTGCCTGCACCTCCTGAGCTCTGAGATTAAGGGTGCATGCCACCATGACCAGCTCTTTTGTTTTAAATATATTTATTTATGTTTTGTCTTCAGGAATGCTGTTATTGGACATAAGTGATATGTAAACAAGTGAATGTGACTGTTTCTATCAAACTTTAGTTACAGGATCATGTTGGCCTCCTAGTTTGTCAGTTTGTGCTCTGGTCCAGGTTAGGCCAGAGTCTGGAGGATATTTGTACCTTTCTTGTTAGCTTATGGCCAGTATGGTTTCCAGGTGGCCTTGTCTTTTACGGAGTTACTTTGTAATAACTAGGGATCTCCTGATGGTAATCTTTGTGTACATTTTTTAAATTCTGTGCTATATCTTAGTCCTTCTATAGAAGGCTTTTCTTTTTAGGACATCAGGTATACCGCATCCATAAAACACTTTCTTATTTTTCAGAAAGCCAAAGCTTGTGGTAACTGAAAAGGCCATCCGACTTGCTTATCGTCATGCTAAGCAGAATAAAAGAAATGTGCCATGCTTCTTACTTGGTTCTCTCACAGTGGATGAAGGTAATATATTGTAAAAAATGTTGTATGGCTGTTGTAGAATGTACATTTGTTTCAGCCAACTATTGTGTGTGCTTTTGCTAATTTCTTTGCTCTACACCATGGATATGAATATGAGTAAAACTACCCATTACAGAATTCATGGTGTAGTCATCTTTATAAACAAATCATTTTTTTAATGTAAGATTTTAGTATACTACCATTATGATCAAAATACTTTGCTAAAATGTAGTTTTGTGTGGTGTTTTATGTTTTTAATTAGCACATTACGTAATAGTTGATACTTTTGTTCTGCAGATGAAGAAGGTGTGACATTGACAGTAGATCGCTTTGATCCTGGTCGAGAAGTCCCCGAATGCTTAGAAAGAACCCCCACTGCTTCTCTTCCTGGAGATTTTTTGATCCCCTGCAAAGTTCATACTCAAGGACTTGGTTCAAGAGATATGATAGTTCATAATGCAGATGATTTCACTTCAACTTTAAAGGTGAAATTCAATAATAACATTCTTTTTTATAACAATTTTTATTTTTGAAATTATAATTGCATCATCTCTTTTCCTCCCTCCCATGTACACCCTTTCTTTCTTGGGTTTTTGTTGTTGTTGTTGTTGTTTTTGGTTTTTCGAGACAGGGTTTCTCTGTGAAGCAATCCTGGCTGTCCTGGAACTCACTCTGTAGACCAGGCTGGCCTAGAACTCACAGAGATCTGCCTGCCTCTGCCTCCCGAATGGTGAGATTAAAGGTGTGTGCCAACACTGCCTGATACACCCCCTCTTAACTCTCCCAAATTTATGGCTCTTTTAAAAAAATGTTGGTATAGATACACATATATACACACAACTTCAACATACTCAGTCTGTATGTTATCTCAGGGCCATCCGCTTGACATTGGATAACCGAGTAGTGTGCTCTTCCCTGGGAAGACTTTCTCCCACTCTCAACATTTCTCAGTTGCCCATAGCTCTTTGTCTAAGGTTGAAGGCTCACAAGAGTTCCCCTTTTCCATGTTAGCATGTTCATTGGTGGTGTTATCATTCTTTGGGACTTATTTAGGCAGCCTTGTTGATGAGACTTCATTTGTGTAGCCTCTCTGACATTTCTAGTAGAGACAGTCTCACAGCAAACATCCTATTATCTGGCTCTTAATCTTTCTGTCCTCTTCAGCAATGATTCCTAGGCCTTAAGTTCAGGAGTTGGGTTATAGGTGTACCAGTTGAGACTTACTCACTTTTGATTGGTTGTGGTTTTCTGTAATGGTCTTCTGTTACAAAGAGAAGTTTGTTTGATAAGGGTGAGAACTACATTATCTGTGTGTAGAAGGATAAATATTTAGATTGTACTTAGGAATTACGCAGTTCAGTAAACTTGCAGTTGAAGGTTTTCCAGAATCGATGACTGTTCTAGCCCTGGGTAGTTAGCCAGGTTTCTAGTACCAGGCATGATTTCCCTCTTGAGTGGGCCTGAAGTCCAATTAGAAAGCTGTTGGTTACCAACAAGGTATGTGTTCGCTGTTGCTTCCTTAAGGTTATTGTGCCATGCTGGTCCTTGTTTTGGTTCATAGGTGTCCTACCTGGATAGGACTAATTGCTCGCCTCCCTTGGAAGTTTGCATGGCACCTTCCAGTGTGAAAGCTAGTCCTCAGGGAGGAGGCTTTGGTCAGATCCAACTTAGATCATCTGAGTCTTGTGTCTGAAGATGACATTTTTAATTACATATAAGAGTCATACCGTGTGCACCAGGCGGTGTTGGCGCACGCCTTTGATCCCAGTACTGAGAAGGCAGAGGCAGGCAGATCTCTGTGAGTTCGAGACCAGCCTGGGCTACAGAGTAAGTTTCAGGACAGGCTCCAAAACTACACAGAGAAACCCTGTTTTGAAAAACCAAAAATAAAATATAAAAGAGTCATACTGTGTGTAGTTTGTAGTATTTTTTTTTTTTTTTTTTTTTTTTTTTTTTTTTTGGAGACAGGGTTTCTCTGTGTAGCTTTGCGCCTTTCTTGGGACTCACTTGGTAGCCCAGGCTGGCCTCGAACTCACAGAGATCTGCCTGGCTCTGCCTCCCAAATGCTGGGATTAAAGGCGTGCGCCACCACCGCCCGGCCTTAGTTTGTAGTATTTTAATAAGCCTGTATTTGAGAATTATTTGTAATGATCTGTGATTGGATTATTGTGGGCATAAAAATCCAAGGTGATGTGGTTTCTGAGGCCAGAGATTATAGGTCGGGGATATGGGTAATATTCCAGAAGAATTGGTGTGACCAAGACAGGAAAGTTCAGGAAGTGCTCAAGGTTGCTAGTAATATATAAACTCTTGCTAAGGGCTATTAGACTGGAATATTAGTTTTGTCAGATTATAGAGAGCTTTATTAGGTAAAGAAATTTCTTTTGTGTGTTTAGGTTTTAGAGATTTCTGAAAAGAAACAATTCTGTCAAATATGATCAAGCAGGCTGACTGAAGTCAGAGAGAATGGTCCACTAGATTGGATGTGTATTAGGGACGTGTGTGTGTGTGTGTGTGTGTGTGTGTGTGTGTGTGTGTGTGTGTGTGTGTACACATACATATACACATATATCTCACATACACACAGTGGTAGCACTAAGAATAGAAAAGGCACAGTAGATATGCATAAATATGGAAGAAGAGTTACCCTAATAATTTAGATGAGAAAGGAACCAAAAAGGAACGATTGAGATTCTCTAAGGCTGAGTCATAATTGATTTACATGCTCCACCACCACCCAACCCCAGTATAGTAAAACTCATTAGGCGTGATAATTGCCCAGCAAGAATTTGAAGAGTAGCTGGGCAGTGTTGACACATGCCTTTCATCCCAGCACTTGAGAGGCAGAGGTACCAGATCTCTGTGTTTGAGGCCAGCCTGATCTACAAAATGAGTTCCAGGACAGCCAGGGCTACACAGAGAAACCCTGTCTCAAAAAAAAAAAAGAAAAAGAAAAGAAAAGAAAAGAAAAAGATTTTGAAGAACTGCTAGGACATCCATGTTGGAAACTTATGATGGAGCTTAGGACTGTTGATTAAATTATTCACATACTCTTTTGATCATTTGGAATAAATAAGAATTGAACTATTGTGAATTAGAACTAATTTAATTTTGTCATTGTAAGATATTATAGAAGTATCTGTAACAATGTTAAATGAGCCGGGCGGTGGTGGCGCACGCCTTTAATCCCAGCACTCGGGAGGCAGAGGCAGGCGGATCTCTGTGAGTTCGAGGCCAGCCTGGGCTACCAA